GCTTAAACATAAATGCTTCTGATGTTTCCATTAAGAATAATGTTTTCATTGAAGGAGGTTATCTTGAAAAGTGCCTTCTGTACAGTATTAAATGCCAATGCTGTCAGGCAGCACAGTGGTATACTTTACTTCCTTAAAACAACGAGGCAGGCTTGAAAGCACATATTTTACATTACTCATTAATGTTGCTCATATATTAGATGTATATGATTTAAGATATAAAAAACAGTCCACCCAATGCATATTTAGTTTGGCAATGTTTAAAACACATGTCCAAACCCTGAGCATGGCACACAATGTGTTCCTTCCCTTCACTTAACTAAAGCTCTACTGAGCCCCTGGTGTACAGCAAAGTGCCCTGACAATCGGCTCAATGCCCTGGCCAATCACAGGGACACGTGACCTTCTAATCCCTCTCTGTGTGAAGGGGTAAGAGTTTGTTGTCAATGTTGGTTTTGTGAATCAGCACCCAAAATCTCAAATGATTTGTGAAGAGGGAGAGGTATCAAGAGAATAAGAGAAACAAAAGCTGCGCAGGCCAGATTGTGTGGGTGTCAGTGTGTGCATGTGTGTGTGTGTAATAAAAAGACAGAGAAAGGAGGAAGATCATACTTTGACTTAGGCATTTGTGTGAGTTTCTGTGCTACTGCATACGTGCGGGCGCGCGCATGTGTGTGTGTGTGTGTGTGTGTGTGTGTGTGTGTGTGTGTGTGTGTGTGTGTGTGTGTGTGTGTGTGTGTGTGTGTGTGTGTGTGTGTGTTTGTACAGGGTCTCTGAGATTACAGAGCTTGGCTGACAGAGTCCTCTGTGTGTAATCGTGGGTCCACATGCGAGCGCTCACCTTCCTCTGAGCGGATTAACCTAACGCTAAATCCCAAGAGAGCAACAGGCCAGACAGGCCACACAGAACAACTTCATTGACGATGGGCAGAAGAGGGAAGGCCATGTGTAAAATCTATATACAGTTTTACATATTTTTCAAGAGTAAACAACTCATATAAAATAAAGATGATTAAAAAAAAGTGATGGGACAATACACAGGAGACTATATCTTATTCAAATAAAATGTACCTCAAAGGTTGCATATAAGTCATGTAGGCTGCATATTTATTTTTAAATACTAACTGTGAAACGCAATAACACATTAAGTGACTGAGAGAATGCAGTACGCTTTTTACAAAGCCACAAATTAGATTGATAAACTGTAGTAGGAAGCAACACTTTATCACTTTAAAAATGTACTTTGCATAACAAATATCTCAATAACAGACTATTTCAAATGTAACCATTTTTTTAAATCCCAAAATGTGCAGTGAAACTTTTATTTATTTAGATAAAAAATGCCACTATCTCAACATTCATAGCATCTTTAACTGTTAAAATAGATTGTATTGTTTCAGTTACAAATAATTGCTCTTTAACTTTATAACAAAATCAGAAGCATATGGGTAAAGATAATGACTTGTATGTTTGTATTAATGAACGTAAGTTAAATGCACACAGCCTAGTCAGTTCAACCATATTCTAAAATATAATAAAGTGTGATGGAGAAATGTGTGCACATTTGATCAGTGGGCCTTATACAAATACTTAAAGAATAAAACAAATAAATCCAATTAGATATCTTAAGCTGTAACCTGTGAAAGTTGCCACAGGTTAATTGTGTGTGTCATTATTAATGCTCTAACTACAACAGGTTCAATTGAGCCACACAAGACATAACTTAACTGTAAAAATATGCAATTATAGCTTTATTAAAACAAGTTGAAACAATGTCAGTCAGAAATTCAAAGAGAATACATTATAATTAAGTCTGAACGTGTCAAACCTTTTATAAAACACTAATTTAGTGTTTACTGTGTCTCTTGTCTGCGTGAACTAACGTTAAAATAAGTCTGGAAAACTGTGTTCTCCTGTATTGTACTTTGGAAATGATTCATATTTACATAATTCAGTCATTTTTTTATGTTTTTATGAAAGTTTGATATGCAAGTTATCCTGATTTCCATGCATAATAATAGGATAATGTTGATAATGAGTGCTACTCAGATTGGTAGTTTAAACCACTGATGACTTTTTTTTTGCATATTCACAAAGTAAGGCCATTATATGTACAGTGAGTTACACTGCATACTGTTGCTTTAATTAAGCTAATTATCTGACAATTAAAAACATTTGAACTGCATGTAATTTTCTTTTTTTAAAGATTCTTTTTTATTTATTATATTATTTTGTAAAATTGAAAACATCAAGTTGATTAAACACTACATTTTAAAGTGAAAATGTAACTTTTAATATGCCACCAAAAGCGCAGTAGGGTTTAACATAGTTGTATCATACATTAAGGAGGGCAGCGTATTCAGTAGCTGTGGCTGTGCGCCTGCATGTGGACATGCGAAAGCTAGACAAGGTCGACAAAACAGTACCACTAAAACACGAGACAGTCCTTAATTCTCCTAATAGATCATAAACAGCTATTTGATGTCAGGCTGTAGTTATATGACAGAGTTGTCACCGCCATAAGTCGATCAGGGTCACAACCAATCAATAAACGCAGTTACTGTACTTTGTTGTTGAGGAAGCGCGCATCAAAATAGACCCTCAAGTTTCGCTCGGGAAGATTAAAAATACAGATCATATGACGCAACGTGTCTCCTTGATGTTTGTGAGTGAGTGTGAGCGCGGTACTTACTTTATTTCGCGTGAAATCTTGTCCGGGTGAAGTGAAAGATTCAAGCGGTCCGCCGCTTGTTGGGTCCGGCCGGTTGACAGGAAGGCTGAAGCTGCTGCTCGGTGGTGACGGACTTTCGCCAAGACGCACTTAAAATCCAGGAGCGCAACTTAGCTGAGGACGTCGCCGGGAGGAAAAAAAAAGTAACCTACAGTACGTGGTAGGAGTCTCTATAATGTCAGAGACAACTGCTCTCTCTCTCTCTCTCTCTCTCTCTCTCTCTCTCTCTCTCTCTCTCTCTCTCTCTCTCTCTCTCTATCTCTCTCTCTCTCTCTCTCTCTCTCTCTCTCTCTCTCTCTCTCTCTCTCTCTCTCTCTCTCTCTCTCTACTCTCACTCTCTACTCTCTCTCTCTCTCCCCCTCTCTCTGATCGGGCAGTGTCTGCTCAGGAGGCGCTGAGGGCTGCTCTCTCTCCGCGAGGTGCCGGTGAGCGGAGATGGACCTGGTGGAGCGGTGGTGGAGCCGTGGAGGTGGAGGTGGAGTACTGCTGGACGTCTGGAGCCTTATGGTGATGGCTGGTTCTGTTCCTTCGAGAAACCCTGGCCGAGTCTTTCCCCCAAACCCTTTCCTCTCCCAGCGCGAAGAGAAATAATCGATTTCTTTCCTCTTTTTTTGACTCCTGAAAGGGGGCGGGCTCACATGTTCCCAACTCTACTTTAATGAACGAGCCTCTGCTCGTATTGCTTTATTATCGCGCCAGCCCCGATAGGGTGGACGCACAATTAAGCGCTCAGAGGACCACTAGAGGAAGATCATGAGGAATGCTTAAACTAATGATCCAACGGAGGGCACGTTAAGCATCTTTAGCAGACTTCGAAAGCTAAATCCAGCCGGTAAAGTTCATGTTTTTGCTGTGGCCTTTTGTTTCAAGCATGCACACAAGAACAACCCAGAAAAGGCAAGTCTCTTTAATCAAGAAACTGGTAGAAAGAACATGAAACAGTTTTCAAAATGAATTATCCACTCCAAGCTTATTTGAAGGTAAAAACCTGTTTTAAATATATTGTTAAAAGTAGATTCAACTAATTTATGTTGTCCAATAAACCATACATAATCCCACCATTTAGTTCTAAACTGATTTATTCCACGCCTGAGGAACATAAATGCTGCCTTCTTTCTCAGTCACTTACAAACTTTCCCCCTCCTGCGAGCCGCCAATCATTCTCCAGGACCCAGCTATCTCCTCCAGATAAGCACTGACACAGACAGTAAGCATGGGGGAATTACCAAGCCTTTATCCATCCAACCAAATGATTTCAAAACATCCACTCTATTAGTGTGAAGATAACAATTAGAACAGCAAGTTTGCCACTTCAGATAAGACACAGACAGGCAGTCTGTACAGAGATGTTTCCCAGATACGCCTTGTAATACTGTGCTTCTTTTATACTCGCATTATATGGGTGTAGTATCAGTTTAAAGAAAGGTTGTATTGAATGGAGCCTGTTATACTGAAATACATAATCAGATCTCACTTTAGTTTTTTTATCAACCCATCCTCAGAAACAGAATCAACTGGGTTTTGATTTACAGAGAGCTTTGAAGGGTTTTTTGGATGGTCAACGTTTAAAATAGAGTTAGGATTTTTGATCATTTCCACACTAAAAACATTCAAGATGTTGAAAACAATTTCTATATTTGTTTGGACTTTTAATGATATCCTCACTATAATTGTATATTGAATCATCCTATCTTACTAAAGAAAATGTAAATGTTAACCCAACTTCTGAACTTGTATCCAAATGCAGACAAACAACAAATATTACCCTTATAAGCTTATAGCTTTGCAGAACATGCCTCTCACTAGACTGCGTGAAGTGTAAGTGGACACCAAGCAGCATCCTAATCTTTCCCTTCCTTTGAAGTTCACCTGTGAAGCATAAGCCATGTATGCAGCCAGTCACCCTGTCAGTCAGGACATGAAATCAGTTAATAAATAAATCAAGCTAATTTTGTTGACGGCCGGACATTACAGCCTGTAACTGAACCCGCTGGTGTCTGATGACCTGGAATACCACCTTCACATCACCTGACCCTTTAATCTTTAATAGCATTTCCTCTGGCCCCCAGACCTCCATAATAATCAATAAGGTGTAGTATGTTAGACACAGTAGGTTCATAAATGCAACATGGCAGATATCAATGGCATCACATATTGCCTCGTGTGAAACATACAGATTTGACAACTATAATAGACAAATCCTCAGTTGCGCACATGCGACAATTGAATTAAATATGTCACCTATGAGTGCCTGGATAATTGTACATACCACGTTCAATGTTCCTTCTTTTGCCGTCTCGCGAGCCCTCAGTCCTGAAGCCTTCTTTGCTGTCTGTCAGTGGTTCATTAGATAGGTCCTTTCAGTGTTCACAATGCTTGAGGTTGTCTTAGGTTGGCACCTGTGAGGAGAAGTAACATAGGGAAGTGTGAGGAGGGGAGAGAGAACCTGCCAGTGAAATGGTAATTGTTTGCATGCACCTTGCACATAGTGAGCAGGATCCTTGTTAGCATCTATGTGTGTGTGTGTGTGTGTGTGTGTGTGTGTGTGTGTGTGTGTGTGTGTGTGTGTGTGTGTGTGTGTGTGTGTGTTTAAGGTCCATATGAAGAACAGTGAAATAAATGGGGGGGAATAGACTGAATATATATGAATGTTAAAAAAAAAATCATTAAACGAGGCAAACACTTGGTTCATGCATATTCATAAATGGCTGTCTGACTTGTCTACAGGGATAAACTTATGGTGAAGGCATGCTTACAGCCTCGTTTTATTCTCACACATTTAATGCAAAGTAGGGAAGACCTTATGTATATTTTGCTCTTGAGACTACCAAGTGGGGGTCTTCGGCTACATTTGAATATGATAGAAAAAAACTCAAAGCATTATAGCCAGATCATTGTAACATTGTATAATGTTGTTCAGAGTAAGTCACATTATGCCTTTTACACTTAATACATTTAGAGTGAGGTAACCAATAAGTGTGTGCAAGCATAGTGCATTGTAACTTAAATATCTGTAGAGTTATAATTGTAAGTTAAATATTGTAAGTGAAATATTTGCTGCTTTTGTGTTTGTGAATCTAAATTATTTTATGTTTAATTAAAACAGACTAGATTATTAGTTTATTTTTGTCTGAAACTTTCCATGTTCAACTCATCATTAGTCACTCACTACTACTCTTAGAACATGCAAACCCAACCTTGTGTACTGGTTTGTGTGTATGTGTGTGTGTGTGTGTGGTGTGTGTGTGTGTGTGTGTGTGTGTGTGTGTGTGTGTGTGTGTGTGTGTGTGTGTGTGTGTGTATGTGTGTGTGTGTTCAAGTGTGAGTCTCATCAAAGCCTGATGTAGAACAATCAACAGTTTGCCAAAACAATTATGTCATTTCAAATATGTCACATTGTGTATACACACACTTTAGGCGTTTGGGTAAATGCAATTTTGTGAGGTTTGGCATCAGCTGTGTATAAAAAGGGAAGAGGGGAAACTGCGACTGCATGTTAAGTCAAACACATAAGTGCGGTTTGCTGATATTGATCTTGCTTGGATTGTTTCTTAAGCCTCTGCTGGCAGTCACTTCACAGTGTGTGTCATACGCATACACACACACACACACATGTAAAAAAGCTCGCCTGAAAATGTGGTTTTTTTTGTAACGGAAGGAGAAAGAAAGGAATGCCTCTCAAGCAACAGATAAACACTAACACATTTCCAGGGCAAACAGGAACAGCCCGGGCTCAGTGCAATCTGTTGTCGATCACGCTCACGTGAAAACACAATCTGCCTGTCACAGTAGATGATGTTGTCAAGCACTCTGCCTCACTGCTCCTGAGAATTAGCCAGCTATAACAGAAGCACTACGAGACACATGGATTGCTTGTTGTGTGTCAGACATGTCTGAGGGATGCTTCCATCTTCTATCTGGTATTTACTGCTTTCAGTCATTCTTTCTGTGTTGGTTCCCTAATGGATTTGAGAGACATTTGGTGTTCTGACACTAGATTGATGCGACATGATGTGACGACCAAGTTTCTCGGGGGTTACAGATAGACCTGCAGGCCAATTTAACTCACAGGCTCAGCTGGGGATCTATGGATCAGTGTGTGTGTGTATTCATGCGTCTTCCTGAATCATTTTAAGACTGATGTCTTATTACATTGTGCTGATATTAAATTGTGATATTGTAAATAAATAAATATAATTATTTTATATTACATTATTATTGACAGACTGGAAGAGCATTTGAAGGTGTTAAAAATGTCATGCCTCATTCATTTGCTGTTTATATTAAGTTGTGAACACTGGGGAAACCTAAGGAAATAAATTAGTCATTTCCAAAAGTAACATATATAATGTGTAATATCAGCACTGTGAAACACCTTCTGGTTTATTTATGACACAAACATATTATTGTTTAATAAAATATGAATTTAATCGGCATCATCTTACATATATTAACATATGATATCCATAATGTACAGGACTTGATCCGCCAGAACATCTGGGTTCTGTTCTCAGGGAAAACAGAGTTACTTTAGAAGTAATCTCACACTTTGTAGGAGAGATGTGAGACATTTCCCTGCCGATCCCTGCTTGGTCTATGTGTAAGTCATCAAAAGTGTTATATTACACCAGTTTCAGAGATCCTTGTTAATAAGGTTTATAATGAAACTCAGAGGGCAATATCATCAGTAATTATAGTTGCAGGAATTCTACCACTGTACAGTATAATTACGGGAGAAAAGGTGAGAAAATCTTGTTTTAATTAACTGAAATCATTTGTCCTCATATTACAAAATATATAAAACAAAGGAATTCAGGATTCTGGGGAAGTATTTATTTGTACAGTCAAATTAGCTTTAGTAATATAAAGGTGAAGTTCCCTTTCTAAACTTTGATTGCCTTAATATCACCTTGATTATTATACCACTGAAAACAGTTTATCTGTATATGTCTTAGTCCAAACCATATATTTTTAGAAAAATAGTTGTAATGTAAATATAGTATTTATGGATATGTTATGCCAATAAGTTACCTTTTAAATTGCTTTAAATGATCAAGTCTTGAATAAAAGCTTATTAAACAGAGCCATTTCATTTATTTTCATCTGTATAACTTTAAACAATCTAAATTAAATCACTCAGAAATTAATACATTTCTGATCTGGATATTTAGTGATCCCACATTTCTCATAAACCAGAAGCCACCTCTGTAGTTTTAAATATTACTGCTTTGGTCGGCTAAGAGAAAAAGCGAAGGAAAAGAGTTATGTCTACTTATCATTAGCTGCCGTTTTATAATGGTATGACTCATTTTTCACTGAAACCATGCAGTGCCTTATTTTCAATAAGCATTTGTCTGTGTGGTTTGGCCATTAAACTGAGTCTGGCCAGCAGTAAATTCACTGTTCCATTTCATATATTTCCTTGTCCTTATAGTTCAGTTTAAGAACAGTTGAATCTAACCATACAGAACAGACTCAATGCAATAACAACAAATCTGAAGGCCTCTGACATTCTTATAGCCACATAAGGACCCCTTACCGAGCGGAGTCAAACGAGAGACAGCGCTGGTGATTTGCATGTGTCGTGTTTAACCAACAGTATTCTGTCTGTACACCTTGTATGCATTATGGATGAGGCACAAGCTGAACAACAAGCCCTCCCTTTGTTCTGCCTGATGCTCCTGTTACATCATAGGAAAAGCCCCATGGTCCTGTGACTGCCCTGACTGCTGAGACGCCGCTGGCCACGCTGTTGATCAGACCTGTTGCTTTTTCTTGCATGTTCTACTGTCATGCCTATGTGAATATATAGATACACACACTGTGACTTACAGTGGTGCCTACTAAGAAAATTCACATTTGTTTGATTTATATTAATCTTCAAAATGTAACGAATACACATGCCATCAATTAAATGTAATTAATGATAATGAATTATTCCCACAAGACACATTTTCAAATAACATTTTGATAGTTAAAGGAAAAAGCAGCTGTTGACTACATATTGCCTATTATTTGATTATACTGGCTTAAAATCTGCTGATCAATTAGCTTGATTAAACTGTCAAAACTGCTTGCTGATTTTAAAATCAAAATGCTGTAATATAATATATGTCATAAATGTATATGTGACAGGTGCCATCCGTGTGCCACCTGCTACATATGAAGGGCACATTTTGCCTGTCAATGTGCATTCAGGGCAATGTGCTGCCTGCAGGGGAGCTCTGCATCCTTCCCAGCACAGAACAACCTGGTGTACCACACAGGTTAACTGCAGGTATCCCCCATGCAAAGTTTAACCAGTATTTATTTTTACTCAATGTTATCGTTATTCAGGGGATACCATAATAACATTTTCATTTAGAAGAATCATCTAAAGATTTAAGCAGATTCATTTTAATTGAACAGAAATTCCAAATTTCTTATAATTATTCCTTATGCAAACATTTAAATTACTGTTATTTCAATGTTCTTCCTTTTTATACCAATCCCCGACTCCCCTCTCCTCATCCTGTGTGTTCTCCAGACTCTAGTGTAATTGTTCCTCCTTTTGAATGGTTGAACACTTAGGCTCTGAACTGCTCCAACACAGGCACAGTTCTCACATTCTTCTCACTGCCCTTCTCTAATTGTGCCCATAAAGGGGAGATGCCAATGTTAGATTGTATTTATCTCTGTCCTCTGGTGTTTCATGAAGTGATGCAAAAGCTGTGACTGAAACATAACTAGTATATAATAATGCAGAAATAAAATAGATAAAAATGTGAAATTTAAAATGACAATCAGCGCTGTCACGATTTGAAATGTTAAGACCGGAATTAATAGACCACAATAGCAATATCCCCTCTCTTTCCATACCAATCAAAAATAAAAAGCAGTTTGTTGACCATTTCCTGTAGAATTCAAACAGATAGTTCTCCAAACTTTAGAAATAGTTGTTTTTAAAATAAAACTACCATATTTCCTTAACCAAATCTTAATTTCAGACTATGTTAAATGTAGTGTGATCTCAGTGATTTCAGATCATGATTTGGAGTATAGACCTGTGTAGGTCATCTTATGATCACCATTTTACTGGAAATGTGTTCAGTAGTCTAACAAATGTGCTGTAATACATACAGATACGGCATTAAAGTCTACAGTCATCACTGTTTCCAATTCCCATAGTAACCATTACACAGCAGAAGTCCCTCCTGCAGCTGTTGACCTCAGCCAATTCCCTTGACAATTAAAGATCACTCAGCATGGCTATGCAACTTCTCCCACACTCTCTACAAGCAGCTGATAGCATCTCAATGTGAGGAAAAGAAAGTGGAGCGGAATATAATGTGTGTCTAAATGAGGGTTTCCCAGCTCTGATGTGTGATAGCGCGTCCTAGCGACCATCGGCGCAGGCCCGTGTTACACGGTGGAGCGCGGCAGACGAGCAGCGGCGTCTAAAGCTCTTTGTGCCTGCAGGATCACCCCAACTCATTCTTATTCAGACATGATCAGAGGGGAGGCAGGCAACTGAGATTAGCTGCAGATCAAAGGAGCTGCCTCGCGCCAGCACTCGTGTTTTGTAGATTTAGGCGGCCCTGGCGCACAGGCGTTGCATAGTGGCGGCAGAGCGTCATACTGTTTTCTGGCCTCGGCAGTGCTCAGGGGGGTAGATGGAAAGAGAGTGTTTATACAGGAGGTTGGACTACTGCTGGAAATCTTCCAACATTAAATAATAGGGATAATGGAGGAGAATGAAAAGGAAAAATAAGAGAAAGTCACTATGCCATTACTGTCACCCATTAGAGTGAAACTAACTTGCACTTTCATGCCATCCCAATTTAAACTACTTCCATACTGTATGTGTAATACGTCTTGATAATTTGTTTTAAAATGTAATACACCTTTTATTATTAAATACTTAGGTAACTCAAGAGAATCTGGATCAGTACAGCCCACTAAATAACTATGGAAACGCTTGCCCTAACTTCTGCTATGCTTCTGTCAGCAACTGTTACAGAATAAATAAACAGCAAATTACTCCTACACTGTATCTTAATATTCCTATTCATTTACACAAAAACACCAGTGGAAACCTCAAATACAAATATATTTTACTCAAAGTTAAACAGACTGAAACAGGAAGTAACCACTAATCTTCATGTCTTTAATACATTTAAGCCATTTTCATAAGCCTTGAATAACATTTGATTTCATCTTTATTCACATTTCAGTGAAGATAAACAAATGTCGCTCTGCTTTTCATACTGCACAAAGAACAGCAACAATGAAACTAATAGCAGAGTGTGAAGGTGAAGTGACAGGATGAGGAGAGTTTCAAAGGCAGAGAGGCAACTGCGTAAGAGCGCTCGCCACCCTACAGAGAGGGAAAACAACGCGTTTCCTCAACTCGGCTGACCATCAAAGCCGTGGAATTCAGAGGCAGAAAAACTAATATGTGAAGACTAAGCGGTTCCTGTAAACTGGGTCGAAGTTTTTCAAGTCCTGCCTCTTTGGGTTAATAGCAAGAGGACAAGTAACTCTTCATGAAAAAAGGGACACAAGTGAATGTCCACTTGTACGATATACATTTTTATACATGTTTATTTCCTCTATTTTAGCTTGTTAAGGGTTTTATTTCCATTGCTACCATAGTTAATAGTAGCATATTGTACAGTATCTCAAGTCAGAAATAAAATGTACTCGAAATACGAGGATATCAAATTCAGGAACAATATTACTTCTCTTATTTGATCCAAAACCTATGGTGAAATCAAAAGTTGAAGGAAAATGTCCAACGGAGGCTTTCACCACTCATTAAAATCAAACAAAGCCTTTGCTCTAGTATGAAATTCCATTTGGTTGTTTTGGGACGAGTGCCCAGTAGAGCCCCTTTCTAATGTCTCCATTCGGTTAGGGATAAACACCTCTTTGTTCTTTTAATATGACAAAAAGTTTACTCCTTTGTTTCAAAAGTTTGCCCAATATGTCTTACTTAAACTCCAAACTGTGAGAAACATATTGCTACTGAAGTGTGTCTTAGCCACTTAGGTAGCTACCTTGAGGGAATGAGTCATTTCTAAAGCAAACAGCATGTTAAGGCTATGCTCTTTTCTCTCGCTGATAATTCCAGATTGTGCAATGAGTTCTAAGCAATTACCCTTAAAAGTACCGGTAACATAAACTGACTGTGAAGAATTAGAAGCAGGGAAACAACACAATATAAAGTTCCACTTAAGTGCCTGAAAACATTTGTCTTGCATGAAAGAAATAAAAATGTAGACTTTTAAAACTTAAACACACAGGAGCCTTAATAGGCTATTCCCCAAGTGCTCCACGGAGGTGATTGGCAACAGCTGAGCCCTGACTCCTCCTTCAGCAGATTTAGAGCTTCTATGGGGGCTTGTTGTCAAGAGCAGGAACAAGTCTAAGTAAATAACAATTAAGAGTATCTTTTTGCCTAGTTCATACTGTTTTTTTTAATATTGGATCACATGACAAAGACAGCATTCACTAAATCCAGCAAGGCTATAATGTAACAATTAGGCAACAGTGTAGGATTGTGAAATTGAGCAGCTCACATATCAAAATTAAGGCTTAATCTGTTTAACATGTCACGACCCAACTGTGAATGGTTTGAAATCTTGGCAGAGACAGGTTTTCCACCAGCAGAATCAGATCCAGAGGAGAGGGGAAAAGGAAGGGAATAGTGTGCTGTGAAAACTCACCCGTGCCGTTCCTCTGCTTCCCCAGGAAGTTACACCCCGCAGCACCAGCTAAGGCCCAGCTCAACTCAAAAGTTCAAAAGTTTTAAAAAAGAAAGGAAAACTAAAGAGATAGTTGACCAAAGAAATAAAAAAATATACCAACAAATGGCTTCAAATAAATGTCCTGCATGTGATAAAGCCAGACCAGCTGGCTTTGAATAGAAACCCCGATTTGGGTTGTGTGTTTCCAACGATCTCCGTCTGAACTGAAACCAGGTCCGGTGCTGCCTAACCACCCCCCCACCACCCCACTGTCCCAGCTGAATCCACCTGCCCCCATCACTCATGGGTAAATTTAGCCTTCTGAGGGATCAGTGACACCCCCCCCCCCCCCCCCCCCACACTCCCCTTCCAAGCAAACACACATACAGTACACACCCCATATCTTTGTCAGCACTGGCATATATGCCGGGGATTATTGCCCCCCCAAAGAATGCCGCCGTCTTCACAGTGGCAAAAAAAGATCCCCCTCCCCTTTTTACCCCCTTCACACATCCACAACTTGAAACTGTTCAGATGACATTCATCTTTTAAAACAGATCCGCATCAGTGTGTTTCCTTAACCTTTCTGTATACATCTGACAGACAATGACTGTATTAAATGACCCGGATCTTTAGCCCTTGTAAAACAGAGGATTTCCGCTTAGGAGCTAATTTACAATGTTATTATTTCTGTAATTTGATGACCTTGCAAAACCTATTAAATAAACTTTGCCACTTTTATAACAAGCAACAGTGTAATCTATGTGAATCATAAATACATTACTCAACAGAAGAGATTAGCCGACATTGATAGCATCTTCTCCAATGTCTAAATACCAGGTGCAATGGTATACACCTATAATTTGGTAATTATAAACTCATTTACCCAAGTTTATCTATGACTAAAATCCGCCTACAGTCTTGTTTTTTCAAAGAACCGCAATGCCCAGGAAATGTCATTTTTCCATTAATACCTGATAAAAATCATACATTTCCATCCAACAGAAAAGTTTTGAGTTTCCCTCTGCTGCTGGCATCCTGACTGTAAGCCATTTCTCCTTCTAAATGATACATTCAGTAGAATTTAAGTATCAACAAGCTTAAAGCGTAATATCTTCTGTGACTGTTTTCACATTAGAGTTGTGTGGGGGTGGCACAGGGATAATTGTATTTTTGATCAAGCATTTTCCAGTCAAGGTTTTATACCTGATGCCAAAATCTAATGCAGATAATGACACTGAATCATACACACAAATGAGTGTTTTATGTATCCCTCTTAAATCAACCGATTTGTGAATGTGGAGAGTGATGAAATAAATGAAAGATAAGTAGATTATAGATTGGAAAATTCCCAGAAAATATCCAAAATAGGGAATCTGCGTCAGAAGAGATAAAACAGAGGTGTTCCCTTGACGATAGGTATTCAAACTCTTCTGACAGTGAAATATATTTTGTATTGATCCGGTTGTATTGTTTACATGTTTCTGGGCACAGGTAATCAACTCATCTTTTTGTTTTGGGAAATGTCTGTCGCCATGACTACCCGCTATACATTGAAGGATCAGTGTCTGCCCAGTCTGGTATTTGTGATGACCTCATGGACAGGAATTCAGGGATGTCTTTGGGGGTTTGATGGATTTTGGTGGGAGTGAATTTAATTAGACATCCCAATAGCACAGAGGGATACTTGACTTGATCAAAGCTTAACTATGGTGACGTGATCTGTGTTGTGCCAGCTTGTTGTTCTCGATACAACAGAGAATTAGACACAATCATTTGCATGTACACACATATCCACAGTGTGCTGCTTTCATTTGTATTACCTTGTGTATTTTGACTAAACACTTCCTTTTAATACACTGCTTTGCCAGTAGGGGCCTGGTGAGAGGGCATTTTTAGCTGCCTTTTAATGGGGCTTGTGGAGGGACTTAAGGGACAGAGGACTAAAGGCTGGCTGTCTTTTTATGACTGTGGCACGGTCAAGAAGGGGAAAAACAGCGAGCCGCATGGCAGTCTGTTGCACACTGTCGACCACAAGAAGCCGGCGTGGCAGCAGTACAGTCCGTTAACTTTAAGAGTACATCCTGTCCTAATCAAACGGAGACTGCTCAGTGCAAATACACTCTGTTTGATTTAGATGTATACACTTTGTGTGGCCTATTTATATATGTGTGTGTTCATGAAAGTGTATTGTAATTATCAAATGCACTCATTAGTGCAAATGTGTGTGTTCTTGCGCATATTAGTGTGTGTCCGGAGGGTGAGGCCGTGTGTCCGTGCTGTGGCTCACAACACTTCGGGCTACGCCAACAGTTAAACAAAGTGTTATGTCAGCTGAGAGGTGACAGGCGCTCTACAGGAAACGTGGCACGGCATCTCCTCTGAAGACTCCTTTCACTCTGTTTTATTTCCTCTCTTTTTCTGTTGCTTTATCATTAAATCATCAACAGAAAATTAAAGCAATTATTGTAATGAACCCACTGACAAGTTTATGGAACTGGGTGGATTTACGAGTGCTCCTGTAAGAACTCTACAGTAGTCCTAGGCAGCCCTACAGACCGACTTAAAGAGAAGGATTTTGAGAATCAATTGTAAAAAAAAAAGAAAACATGCCATATTTTAGTTTTTTAAATGATAATGATGCAGAAAACCATGGTAGAAGTAATGCATGTGTGCGTGTGTAATCCAGAAGGATCATTTCTTCTTGTGCCTACAGTACACTGCATGGTGTGAGCTGACTTCAGCGTGTCTGCCCAGCCCTCTGCTCCACACAAGGTCGCTCTGTGTGTGTTCGGCCTCGGAGAATGAGGGGAGGCCACGGCGCACAATCACCACTAAGCACATACCTTTCTGCCCCACAGCCCCACCAGCCCAGACACAAACCCAGGGGCTGTATGTTTATCAAGCGTCTCAGGGCAAGACTGCTGATTTAGCACCACTGCTCAGGTCCCTTTAACCATCGTTTTCATCGCGAATCACTCTCAATGAAAAGGTTTTCGAGCGCTGAGTTTAAATCAGCACTCAAAATCTGATGCTTGGTAAATACCAGCTGAGGCCTTAACTCAACCCGGACCGCAGTAGATTAACGAGGGTTGACCGAACCGGTCCTCTGGAGCTCTATCCTGATGAGCTCTGTTGGTTTTATAAGAGGCCCCCTGTGACAGGATCTGATAAAACACAGCAGGAGGAGGGTTTGAAAGAGAGCTGGAGAGTACAAGAGAGAGAGAGAGAGATTGAGAGAGACAAGGACATAGGGAGATTGAGAGAGCCAGAGAGTGAGAGAGCAAGTCCACACCTCAATCCAAAAACAATATTTTGACTGAAACCTTACCCTCTCCATCTGGCTCTTTTGAAGGGTGGATTATGACTGGTGCCATGTCTAACTCTTTATCCCACACTGTTCCTTCTGTAAGTCCACTCTGACATTTTTCCTAAAGGATAGTTGTACAGGAAATAAATGTAAGTCCTGTACCAGGAACTCAGAATGTAAATCACACAAACGTTGCACATGTTTTAATTGAAGATCAAATTAACAGATGCGATAAATTAAATATTTGTAAAATAAATAATGAAATACATTTACTGTGGTACTTTCTGAACTCAGAGATGTGAGTGGCAGTATAAGCTCTCCTCATTACATTACATGTAATTTGTTAGACGCTTTTATCCAAAGCGACTTACATACATTCAGTACTGTGGACAATCCCCACAGGAGCAATTTGGGGTGAAGTGTCTTGCCCAGGGGACACAACAACATGCTGACTGCAGTGGGACTCGAACTTGCTATCCCCTGATTCCAAGTACAGCACACTATCCACTGAGCCACAGACTCCCCTCCTTTTCTCCCATACTGTGATTCAAACTATGGCCTAAGGCACCATTTTCAAGGGACGGGCAGTCCATTTGAAACGTCACTACCATATCTGCAATTTAGGCCGAACATCAAAGATATTGGCAAAAGAATAAGAAAAGAATAGGATGACTTCTCGATTAGCCACATCTCATAAGCTTTCACAAGTACAGTATATTGGACCAAACTCACAACATCAAAATGAAGCACTTGATTAATATTCACGCTTTAAAATGTAATCACTGACGTTAAATACCAAGAAACGATATCAATCAATGAAATCTCAATGCTTTAAACTCTAATTTTCTCCTCATTTTGCCCTTTGAGTGTTCTCACCCCTGAGTAAACCTCCATGGCAGATATTGTTTAAAAGCCAATAGGAACGGAGACAGTGATGCACTTGTGATGCCATATGAACCCAACTAAACTACATACTGTACCGTATTCAATAATGCTATATTAACTCAGTATATGATCCTGATTTCCTTTGAACGCATGCCAAGCAAGAAATTGCCTATTAGTGCACTTTTCAAAGTAAGGCTATATTTAGGAGCAACACATACTGTAAGGGTTGATCCTAAGCTTGTTGAATTGGCGCATTGCATACTCTACCATAACCATAAATGTCAGTGTAATTAACCATGCAGATCATCTTTGTTTAAGAATATTTCCTTTTCTATTTGTACACGGGTTGTAGGGTCTTTAAATGAAAGTAAGATAACAGCATTGCCTGAAAAACAGCAGTATATATTATTAATTAACTGAGAATTGGTGTGTACAATTAACATTACTATGCAGACCATGGTTTGCATAGTATACGTCTCATGAGTACTGTTGGTCAATGTGCTAAACCTCTATGCTACCCAAAAGAGGAAGCCTAAAATGTAAAGAACATTTCATTTTCTTAAAATAATCTATAGTTTTACATTTCACACAGGATGGGGAGTCAAGTGTATTAAGAGTTGACATTGTTTTGTCTGACAGACACACAGCTTTGACAAGCACAGCAACTTTGTAGTTATTGGCAACCTCTAATGGGAGAGAAATGTGTTTGCTTTATTTCTCATTAGACACCTCACAGGAAATTCACACTTTCATGTTATCCAACCCATTATTTCCGTGCTTTGTTGTAAGTGATATGTCACTTTGATAGCTCATTTTCAATGTTTATCAAATATACAGTTAGATTTCCACCAACATCCAATTCATTTATCACTTTCAACAGCTAAGGTTTTCATTTTGCGAAAAAGATCTTTGTGGTTTTGCTTCAATTTATGTGTTATGTATTTGGTGTGGAAGAGGACGTTTTACTTGACCCTCGGTCCCTTGGAGCTAATTCAAACTAAGAACAAAATGTTGAAAATATCACGA